GTTTACTATAATATTTGTGCGTTATATTGTAGTATTTTAAAATTTTGTCAAATATTTTTGAAAATTCAATGATCATTTTTTTTAACCGTTATGCAAAATTTATTTGATCAAACGTTATCATAAAAAAAACAATTTGATTAATAACATATTTGAAATTTGGGATAGTGATAGTTAAGTGCAATTAAGCCCTAACTTTTTTTAATTTTTATAGTAATTGAATAATTTAATTAACAAATATTATAATGTAATATAATTTTATAAGTACCCTTAACACCTTATGAAGATAAAATTTTATTTCCGATTGTTTTTTGCTACATCATTGTACACTATAACAATTATGTTTTATTTGGTATTCTTTTAAGTTCGATGCAAATCTAAGAAGGCATTAATTTTACTGATGTGTTTTTTTTTTTTTGTGTCTGTTGCCACTTTTTTTATGGACCGATTTCTTTCAACAGTGTGTGATAAGATCCCAAATCGTATCTATTTGAAGACATTACCAATAAAAATTGAAAAAAATACCTTTGTTTCCTATAAATTGAGCAAATTCCCCAAAAAATTATAATTTTTAAAATTGGTAGATTTTCACTTTTTTCCTTAAAACTGTCCTAACTTTTTCAAAAATTAACAAATCAAAATAACCTTTTTTTATTGAGATATCGATTTTTAGAAATTCTGACCCAATAACTATCCAAAGTAGGGTATTCAAAATAGCCACATCCTTACAAAAGTCAACCTTTTCAACTTAATTTTTGAAAATATTTCGGAAATAATACGTCGTATTATTTCTGAAAAGAAGTCATATATTTTTTTTTTTTGTCAAACTAAAAAGTTAATATAAAAATTGTTTTTATTGTTATTTTACATATAAACAATAATCAAAAGGTAACTTATATAATTTGTTTAAAAAAATTAACTAAAAAGAAGTGATGTTGAAGTTCATAAATAAAATTATTACAAAGAACGCACAGTATATTTTGTATGACTAATTATTTCATTTTATATGATATACAATTAACAATTGATCAGAGTCGCGAGGTTGAAATGAAAATTTACAATCCATTTGAAAAGGCCATATCTCAAACACGTTCATTCCCTCATAAAATAATCCAATAGGTATAAATAGTCAATATTACATCATAGTTGGTTTTTTATAAGGGAATTCAATAATTCAACTCTTATTCAATTTTAATCTAAATTTATTTTCATCTTTAAAAACAGTTTTTACGTTTCCTGAAAAATAAAATTTTAATTAAAATATTAGTAACTAATACTAAATCAAACAACGATTAATATCGTGTTTGGGTAAGATATGAATTATTTAAAAACAGCGCCGATATAGTTATCGTCTCTATTTCAAAAATCGTAAGCCATTTGCCATAATTAACAAAAATATCAACTTCTGAATTCCTGGTACCTATCAAAATTGTTGTCTAACTTCATATACCAATATTGAAAAATCCGACCTAAAAGTTAGATTTATCTTATAGATTCCTGGTAGTACCAGGCTGGTACCATTTTTCTAATTTTTTTCGGCAATGGAGGACCGCTTGCTATTGCACAACACATAATTAAGATTAAGTTGCCTACACACTGCTCCTTATTGTGTAATATTTTATTAATCCACGCTAATTTTATAACGAATTTTGTTCACTCTAATTTACGGTACTTAATTTAACTTTGATTATTCGTATTCTACTCCGATCATAATTACTAATAGTTAATTATAGTATCAACTGTCAACGATTGAGACGCTGATATGGGTAAGGTATTAAGTCACAATAACTATATTTTACAGAGGAATGGAAAAAAAGTTTGAACCGAGTAAACTATAGACAAACGTCTTTTTGTTTCTAACATAATTTTCATAAATTGTACTAATTTTTTTCGACAGATTGTTAGGATATATGTTTTACAAAAAAATCAGAAATCGAATTTTTTGGACTTAATATCAGTTTATATTATTAAATATTAATAAACATTTAGACTAACATAAGATCACTTTATTGCTTATATGAAAATGAAAAAATTCTTACTATACTAGATTATGGTTTAATCTAGTTAAGTCTGGATTGTGTATGATTCAGATTAAACATAGAACTACTGATGTTTTTTTACAACATTTTTATTTGATTTACAACATTTTAAATTAAGATAATAAATCTTTACAAATTAAATAATGATTTTTAATACAAATTCAGGGTCGAAAATTTAAGTCTACAAAAAGGCGGTGCTAGGGTTGCGATACATCAACACAATTTATTAAAATTGGATCCTTTGAGTATTGAGGGAGTGTATAAATTGTCAATCTGGGATTGCAAATCAATACAAACTAACGATTGTCAGTGAATTCTCATTACGTTTTGTCAATATTGGAGTGCTAATATAACTCACCTGAATATTACTGATATTTTAAATTTAAATAAGTTAATTTCTTAATTTGTATTGTAAAAATGTATTTAAAAAAGTAAATTTTTAATAATATAAATACAAATATTAAAAGGGCTTGGCCTGGCCTAGTGAGTAAAAACGTATGTTTTAGCGCACAGGGTCCCGTGATTGATCCCCAGAGTGCCAACGAGATTTTTCTTGTTATTTTCTCATTGGCGGTGTCTGGTCTTTGGTGCAAGCCGTCCCGTCCATCATTGGCCTAACCAAGAACAATCCTTGACTTCATGACACGTGAAAAAAGGTCTACAGGGTGTAGACCCTCTTTCTGTAGCATATTAAGTTCGTGAAATAAAAGCATGTAAAACCCATCATTTATATATATAAAACAATTATCGTCTAATTATCAAAGATCAATATCGTCGATACGATTGTATCCAACAGTGTATGACCAACATAAATCATCAAATGGCCCTACATCGCTTATCATGTATTCATGATTGCATGTATTTAATGTTTTCTACAAATTCTGTTTTTGATGTGAAACATCTTTTATGTGACTGGGGTCAGACCGAATGTTAGTGTGACGATGCGACGCCCCGCTTGTGATCAACGTCTATTTCCTGTCGGCACGTTGATACCTCCCTCCATTCTACTACCGCGCTAAACTCGTTACCTAAACCGTATGCAAGGATGTCCATAAGGATAGTAAGGCAAAGGGAACATGTCCCGCCCTGAAAATAATGTGATTCTTTCAACGTATCCTACGCTATCGGTCTCCCCTGGAATATAATCGATCCTCATAAGTGTTTCCTTTAGCGTATTATACGCGATAAGTGGGAGCCCGTTAGGCGAGCAAGAGAGAAATTCCCCCCTAGAAAATAGGTCCAATAGAGTAAAAAAATCAATAGAATTTTTTTGATATGAAACATTTAATGCGCGGTGGTCGGACCGACTGTTGTCATGGCGACCATCACCACACGTGGTAACTCTTTTCCCACTCGGCGATCTTCTCTCTTTCTCACTACACTAAACACTTATATCTATAGCGTTTGCATGGGCACTTATTAGGTACAAGAGAAGGCATAGCTCCTGGAAAATAGCGATCACCCTCTTCATCGTTGCGCTGAACTCGTATACCTATAGCGTATGCAGTGTTGTTTTTTTACTTAGGAACACGTTGCCTGTGTTTTATTCAAACGTAATAACTGTAACAATAAAACATGAGTGACTGATTGTTTAAAACAGTTTTCCTCTTGCAGAGAAAGTAAAATTACACTGTCACGCAGTCAAGAATTAACGCCCACTCCTAAACATTGACACGTAAAACACATAAAAAATAAATTATATAAATAGACACGATTATCTTATTTGACGTCTGTAATTTTATTAGATATGTATAATATATGATAAAAAAAAAAAATTAGGGATGGTGGTGTCCCAGTAAATTTTTTTACAATTTGATGTCGATGACATAAAGTGATTGTAGTCAAAAATAAGTTAAGATATTTAGTTATGTGTATACAATGTGCGTGTATATTTTATGTCTTATAAAATCTATTTTATAATAATATGAACTTGACTCATTTTCATTTCATGAATATTTTATATGTTACTACTAAACATATAATGTTGAAAAATATTATAATAAGGTATTAATACTGCTAAGTAAATTTAAAAAAATAACTTTAAATCACCTAGTATTAATTTACGAAGCTATTTATTATTTCATTTTTACTTCAGTACAAACATTTTATTTTAAATAGTTCAATGAATTTTATTTTGAATGTGTAATAATATTTATAATTTTTTACCCTTAAATATTAATAATAAATTAAAAAAAAAATGCTCTAAGCTTATATTAATTATTACATTATCTATTAACTTGTATTCGTGTTCTGCAAGCATAAACATTTAAATAAATAAATTATGATAATTTATTAATTTTATATTACATTATATATAATCTAAGATATACTACATACAAACAAAAAGTTTTGTTCATTTATATTTTTCAGTAGCATTGTAAGTAAGTTCCGTATTATTTATATCAGTTAAATAATAGTATTGTTTACAAAAAATACTCATCTTAATTATACAATTAAAAAGTTAGTTTTTTGTAATTCAGTAATATTACTAAGTAGTACAGTAATGGTATTAATACTATATAATAGTTGATTATGCAGTGAAGCTTATTTATGAATGGTAATAATTAAATAACAATAATTTCTAAAACAAAAAACAATCTATTAATAAAACAACTGTCAATGTTATAATTCCTACAAAAAACTGTAATATAATAATTTATCTGATTAACAAAAGAATTTTGTCATAAATATATTTTTATAAGATAGTAATAACATAATTTTTCTAAAAATACTCAACAAATTGGGGGTGGCCAAAAAACCATTTTGTAAAAATTGAAAACAATAAAATGTACAAAATTTGTTGCTAGAAAATATGTTTAATAAACAATTAATGTATACAACATAAATATTATAATTAATAATACATATTATTATAAAAGATTATTATTTTATATTAAATATTATACACAAAAATATAAGGTGAAACAATAGCCATTTATTGATAACAAAAATAATAATAATATATTACATTACTCATTATTAAAAAATAAAGATTGGTAATACAAAATTGAATAATTAAAAATGGTATTAAAATTTGTTAATGGACGAAAAATATATACAAAATTACAATAAAAAAACCAGACTATATATATAAGTTTTAATCATTATTTGTACATGTTAAACATATTACAATAAAGATACCCATTAATTCTGGTGTATACCAATTTATAATGGAGAAAGCAAAACATAACAGGGTTTTATTTGATGAACGATACATAGCTTTTTAATCCAATCAGGCAATACATTTAATTCATCATCATATTTAAAAGGTAAAATAATTTGGTCAGTAGTCGTTTCTTTTTTTACAATTATATTAGGTTTGATACTTTGATTTTTAAATAGACTAGCACTGTCAGTACTTTGCGAGACTGTGTCTATATTACATTTTAAAGGATTTGTTTTACTAGTTATTCTTACTTTGAAAACATTAGAATTAGTTTTTCTTTTTCTAATGTGATTTTGATTAATACAAGAGGATGATTTATGTTTTTTATTTATCAATAATTTGTCTACATGCAATTTTTCAAAGCTGTCATCTAATATATTTAAGTTGGTTTCATTTGTACATTTTTTTTGTTCTCCAGGTGGTTTTGCAGTAAATACTATATCCGGAAGGAATAATTTTTTTTTAGCTTTTTCATATTGTTTTTTAGTATCAATAGACATAACTGGGTTATTTTTATGAGAATAATTTGTTTTTTCAGTGAAAGATGTAATATTCAAATCTAATGAGTTTGATTCTTCGAGTATATTATTAATAAAAATTGGTGTTATCTTTTCATTAGAATCATTATCATTTTTTGTTATATTTTCACTTATGCTAACATCAATATTTTCAGCTGAATTTATATTTTTTGAATTACTATTGATCATTTTTTTAGTTTTATTTGTTACTTCAATATTTTCCTTTCTTTCAGGCAACAATTTTTCATCTAATAATTTTGAATCACTTATACCAGTATTACTTTCTGTAATCACACCACAAATATCAACCATACCTTTATTTGAGTTATCAATAAAGTAAGATTTTTTATCCTTATGTTTTTTCTTTATTTTTTTTTTGTGGCCTTCATTATTCTTAGATTTAGACTTTTTTATTTTTTGATATTTAGCTTTAGAAGACTTTTTTGAGGAATCCCTACTACTTTTAACTATTTTTTTTGGTTTTTTCAATGTAGTATTACTATTTAATTGGTTATGTACTTCAATTTTTACATCTGAATTAATATTTATTTTTTGTACTTTTTCACTACTAAAATTAATTAGATTTTTTTCAATAAGTTTTTCGTTTAAAATACTTTTATTATTTGCATAATTAACATTTGAATCAATTCGATCAATGCTTAAAGATATTTCAGGGGCAGATATTTCAAAATCTAATAAAGAGTCTGAATTATTTTGTAATGAGGAATCATTACTACTATCTTTTTTAGTTAAACACCCATCTGATAAATCTAAGTTATAATAGATATTATGATGTTGAACATCTTTGGGTGCTACATTAAAAATTTCAGTATCTTTTGATTCTATAGTATCATTTAAAATATTAAGAGTAGATTGAAGTATAACAAGATTTGTTACGTTTTTAGACACAGATGGTATAATTTCTTTATTAAGGTTAGAATAATTGTTATCCGAGTTTTTTTTCAAAGTAGTATCATTAGAATGTAGTGATAAATTTGTATATTCTTGTGTAGGGGTAGATATACTTCTCTGAGTATTATTATCCATTTGACTAACTAAATTCGGGATATTTTGGATTTTTTTTTCAAAATTGAAATGCCTGCATGAAACTAATGGCTTAAGTCCATTATTTAATAACTCATCTCGAGCTATTGTAGCACTCACACCTGCCAAATTAATACCACCATGTGCACTCATATTTGAAAGAACTGACTGACTAATTAATTGATTCAAGTTACTTCTTCTACCAACATCAGTAATTGATGTGTGTGTATGAGTAGTAATTGAAGGTTCTTGTAATTCAAAATTATTACCATCTTTACCATTAAGGGTTGTTGTACCTAAAAATTAAAATTTTAGCTATATTTTAGACACCCTTTTGCAAATAGACAACTTATATTTAATATAATTACATCATTAAAAAACGGAACATTCTACAGGAATATTCTTATCAAAGGTAAAAACCCAATCCATTTGGGTTTAAATGAGTTAAAAGTTTTTGTTACTATTATTACTTAAGATATTAATTTATAATAGTATAATTGTATATTGTATTATAATAGCATAATAATTAATATTAAAATATATTTTCCTAAGGTTTTGTGTGTTAATTGTAATGTTCTATTGTTAATTAAAATAAAAAACTGCAAACATATGTATTTTTCGAGTGAGTTTTATTACTGGGTTGGAATCATTATTTCAAACCTTGGTTCTTATTAAATCTTGAAACAGTGATTATGACTTGATTAGGTAACATAATAGACTTAGCTGGAAATAAGTTATGCATAAATTTTGAATTACAATTTTATGGAATGTATAAGTTTTTTGACTACTCTAATACATTTATAAAGTAACACACAAAATATTAAATTTATAAATAATTGTCTTGAATCTTTTCTATGTTTTATATATAATTCCTACTTTAACATAATATTTTAATGAATAATAATAATTATTCCAACTTACTAGAATTTAATGACTTTGTAGAGGTAGGTATTAAAGTGCTAGGATCATCAAAAACTTTTCGAGCTTTATTAATACATTCAGTAGAATTTTGAATTATAACTTGACAAAAATATTCAAAAGTAGCGTTAAATATTCCATCAATCAAAAATTTAGATTCTACTTCATAGTCAAACCTAATAAAAAAGAAAAAGTTTTGTATAGTTGTATAATAACCAAAACATTGTTTATAAAAACAAAAGTTGTTAATTAAAAAATAATTTTTTTGAAAAAATATATATTGTGTCCAATTAAAAAAAGACTTTATTAAGTCTCAGCCAGATACCATGAAGAATAGTTACCCTAGATCAACAATCCTTAGGTACATCATTTAAATTTAATTAATTAAAAAATATAACTTTTATTTAAAAATGTTGGTCTCTTGCTTGTTTTACTAGAAATTTATCAGTTTTCAAAATCGCTGTTATATAAATAATTTTGTTTTATCTCATAGGAATTTTAAATCTAATGACTTTATCATTAATATTGAGAGTTAACTTAAATGAAATTTGGCATAAGAGTTGATTAAGTCTTAAGTAATCCAAGATAAATAGTTATTTTATCAAACAAGAGTAAGATTGTAGCTACTATTTACTAGACAAACATATTTACTTAGACAAATTTGTCAAGTAAATAGAGCTAATCATGCTGAAATTTAATATATCAATAAGTTTACATAAATTTTATCTTAAAAACTTAACCACGTTATGTCACTAGACCGATAATTTTATAGAAAAATATACATATTTAAACATTATTTTTTGTAAAAATAAATAAGATTTAACAAATACAATTATAGAACTTATAGAAAGAAATTTTCTTAATAGCATATTGCTACTTTTGATTGGAAACAAAAAATATTGCTACTAAAGAAACTACCTTTTAACTGTACTTTTTCTTAACAAAACTTGTTAAATATCTAGGTTTTCAAAAAAAAAATACATACTAATAAATTTACAAAAGGAATGAATAGTATAGACAGTTAACAACTACATAAAATAAATTATAATTTTTTTCTTAATTTTGAAATCCATCTAATTATTTAATTTAACATTTTATAATGAAAATAAGTATGACAAACACTAATTGATTTGATTAATACATTCAATTAGAACATATGTGTCACATTTGTACATATTAAGTACACAATATATAATAAAACATATTAATAATAAAACCTTAATATTTTATAATAGTCCAAGTATATAATAATTAAATTTATTAAGATATTTAGATGAAAAAATATTTTATTCTTCTAAAATTATAATTTTATAGATTGTTAATATTTACGAATAAAAAAAATTTCTCAAAATAAAATATTTGAATTAAGATTACATACCCATTAATCTTGTTTTCTATATCTCGTTTGACTATTTCAAAATTTGTATCTGAACTTAAATCTTTTAAGTACTCTTCAATATCATTTATCAATTTACTTCTAAGATTTTCAAAAAAACTCTAAAGCAAAAAAAACAATAATGTTGAAATAATTGTAATGTTTTAATGAATCTTCCTTACTTCTTTATGTTGTATAATTCTATCAAGCATAACTGTACGCCAATTTTCCAGGGGTGTATCATTATCATAACAAGCATTTGAAGACATTTTCATTATTGAAATTTAAATTTTTATAAAAAAAATATTCATTGTATCAAATTTAAGTGATTTGTAATATATTTATATAGAACGTTATCCTGTTAAGTAAATGCAAAACGTACCAATTTAATATATTAATCGAATTGCATTAAACAGATTTTTACTTGTAACAAATACTTATAACGATCAGCGCTACATAACACATCGATGTTTGAAAAACGACAGAATATAGGAAAACCTAAGGAAAGTACTATTCAGTACACCTTAACAGTGATAGTAGGGTGTAGAAGTAGGAATTTTTGAACAATAATACTCGATGTCAAACAGTAAGAGGAAATATATTCAGTAACCATAAATGAGAGTAATAATTAATAAGAGAAAGAGTGATAATTTGTTAAGCTAACATGACTTTATATGAAAAAGGATTTACCAAAGACATTTTATGTGTTATCGTACTATTTTATTTGTTATCATACTATTTTAAGATATTCTATGCATAACTTTCAAATTAATATATATAATGTGATTTTTTTTAACGCTAGCCACTCAATTGCTCTATAAATAACAAATTTTTTTTTGAAATATTTATCTTTGGGCTTTGTTAGTTACATAAAATATCTCCATTTAAAATGTAAAATAATTTTTAGGTCCATCCCTTTTATCTTAAAGGATGGTCAAATAAATTATTTTAAGTGACAACAAACATATTAAACTAGTCTGTAAAACAAAAAATTATTTAATTAAAAAAATAACTGTTCGATAACAATTTTTGAACCAATATTTTGGAAAATATTCACAATATTGTGCCTATTCGGGAGGAGTACGACCGAGAAATGATTAATGATAAAAATAGCTGCAATATTTCTATAAAAAAGATATCTACAAAATTTTTCGAAAAATTGTTTGTTATTTAGCCTAATAAAAAATGAAAATGCAAATGTTCTATTTTTAAACAAAATATAAATAATATATCTACCTTATTAGGTAGTATATTTAAACTCAATGATAATATTCATGAAGTGTATAGGTGATTATAATCATTAATAAGCGATGAATATTTTTCGCCAACAATTGAAAGATGAGTCCCATTATTCCGAGAAATTTATAGTCGTCGTTGAAAAAGATACCGATATTCTAAACAAAAAAAATAGCGCAATCATCCAGGGCTCCCATAAAAATTTATCATATGTTCGATCTAATTTACTGAGAACGCTATTCTTGTAAAAAGTTCAATGATTTATTACTAATTCACATTAAATCGTTGACTTGATGCGTACTCTTCAACGGTGAATTTTCAAATTTATTATCACCACTAGTGGCACAACTAGAAAAAATTTTTTTCTTATGTAGTTTTACTCAAGCATATTCCCAATGTATGGTAAGTCACACAAGAATTAATCGAGAACTCAGTCCCTCCAACGTTTTTTTATAGTCTTATTATTGAATACATATATATTCAATAAAATTAAGTATTACTTAATTTCACATGTAGTATTTTTCAATAAAATTGATTTTTGACGATCATTTTGCATAGTAAAACAATGTAAAATAATTTTATTAATGATTTACAATTGTTTTTAAGAAAAATTTATGGACCAATATAGGTCGTATGCAAGAGAGATATGTTTGATTTATTTTTACCCGTTCCATGTCTTAATTTAAAATTAAGAAAGCTGAAACAATAAGGCTGTAAATTGAACAACTCCTGAAATAGATAAATTTTATGGTTATAGTTTTATAACAACTTATCTCATAAACAATTATATCAAATAAGAAGGTTGATTTTTGTTCATAAAAATTCAATGTGTATTCATATTAACACAATTTTCTGTTTCTCCTTTATATAAAAAGTGTATAATAGCGGAAGATAATTTAAAAGGTAAAATTAAATTTACAGCTAATTCAAAATTTAATTTAGTGTATTAAAATCAAGACAATCAATAAACAAAAAATAAAAATTAGCTCGTGGTTTGACAATAATATAACAGTCATTTTATTCCTTATATCTATCACAATACTTATCTACAGAAGCAAATAAGATTTAATTACACATATTAAAAAAAAATCCCTATTTTATTATTATATTTATTTACAAAAATTTCATTGTTAAAAAAGTTATTTGTCAATATATAAATCAAATTAATGATATACAAGACAGAAAGCAAATATAAAATAAGGTGAAATAGATGATTTATTTGAAGTGACTAGTGAAATATAATAAATAAAAATTACAATCGATCCCATTAACAAAAGCAACCAAAAAATTATCACGTGAAACGTTAATATTTACGAAAAATGGAAATACAGCAAATTAAGTTAATGATACAATGATTTTTTGTAAATTACATTAAAATTATTAATACAAATGTTATATATATGCTTATTATTTGTAAAAATTGTATTATAAAGTAATATAATGGAAAGACGAGGGATTTTTTTTAAAAGATAAATTATTTAAGTAAATGTTAAGTCTTTTTTTTAAGAAAAATATAATAAAACTATATCATTCTTAATCTTTTAAAATGTAGTAATTATATTTGTACAATTGATTTACTTAGAATCTAATTTTGCATTTAGCAACTATCTTTGGTAATAATAAAAAAAAATAAACAAAATAAAGAAAACAAAACAATTATTCTATGTATAGTTCACTATTATTATTTACCATTTACTTACATAGATTTACACATCTGTAAAACAATATTATTTAATATAAATTTATACATTTGTACAGTTATTATTCAAGTAAAATATATACAATTATGGGACTAAAACACTCAGTACTAATAACTATCTATTTTAATTGTTTCTTTTTTTAATATTTATTTGCTCTAAATATAACAAGATAATGTTTAAGAAATACAAAAATGTAATATATGTTGATATTTGATTTTTATTTAACTGTAGAAATATTAAAACATCAAAAGTATTACTTATTTCAAATTCCATAATGTTACTGAATATTTTAAATGACCCTATTCATTTAATTAATAATTGAAAGATACAACCTTTTTTTACAAAATAAGTAGATTTACATAAGATATCTTAAATTACATGAGAGACTCCATCAATAATTTGCTCTAAATTATAAAATAAATTTAACTTCACTAAGATAATTTTTCTTTGAACTATAATAAATAAATAATATAATATAATTCTACATTTAATAAATTAATTAAATATATTAAAAACAACACACAAAAACGAACTAACACTATCAATTAAAAAAAAAAAAACATATTTAGTTGAATTGCAAAATGTTTTGTTATATATTAATAAAGAAATCTTTATATGAAATATATGAGTTATGAATTTTTTTTAAAGAACAAACATTATTTTGATTATTTAGCAATAGTTGTCTTTTTAATCAATCATAGCTCTAAAATTTCATTAGTATATCATTATAATGCTTTGTATTGCTTTAAGTAATTCAAAGGTATAATAGATCAAAAGAAATATTTTTAAAGTATTTTAGTTAAAATTAAAATAAATATTAGAACCACAGCAAAAAATTATTATATATTAGATTGTTAACTTTAGATTTTGAAAATTTAGAAATGTAGATCATTATACATAATTTTAATTAAACAGTGTTTTAACTGTTCTTAACTTTTGTGATTGATAACAATTATATTAAATATATAATAAAGCAATGGTAACTTGAGGTAAAAATGAAAAACAATAAATTTATACAATTACACTACAAATATTTAGATTGTTTTCCTAGATATTCTTCTCTGAGAAGATCTAGTTGTTGTAATCAATTTACGAGGAGAATTGTCTGATTGTGGAGATTTACTTGAGGTAATATTTTTAGTATTACTGTTCTTAAGACGATTAGAGATTCTCCTACTTTCTATTTTTTCACTTGATAATTTTTGTTCAGTACTTTGTAATTTATTTATGTTACCATTTTTCTGAGGTTCTGTTTTTGGTTCATTAGCATCTTCTGAAATACGACCTCTATACATTCGTTTGATTACTTGAGATTCAATGAAACCATCTTGTTCAAGATTTTTACGTTTACTTTTACGAAAGTTATAATGTGGTGTACCACTACTTATTGTTGATGAACTATCTTCAGACATACAAGTTTCAGAGTCAGCAATATTTATATTAGATGGTGATTCTGGACACAGATCATTATGTTCTGTCATTTCTATTTTAAGTTTATTACCATTTAAAGATGGTTTTGTTTCATAGTCATTAGAATCTTGATTCATTTCATTGTATAAAGCTTGCTTTAAAAAGCTAACTTTTGGTTTGCTTTTCTTACCTCCATTGTTCACTACCAGATGATTATCTGTAGTGCACATATTTGAATTAGTAGTATGTGATAAAACAGATTTGCGCTTTGTTTGAGAAATGTTAAGATCATTTGATTTTGATGTTGTCGCTTGAAGTAAATTGTAAGTTGGACTAACTGATTTGTCTAAATCATTTAAGATGGCAACATCAGGAAATAGTTCACTTGCACTAGGCTTATCAAATCCTAAATCATCAATGTCGTCATACAAATCATATTCTTTGGTAGGCTCAATATTATTATCAAATTTTTTGCATTGTTCAAGAATGAAATTTTTTAAATCTTTAAATGTTTTAATTTTTGCATTTAGAAACAAACTTTGTAATTTTTTTAAGTTATCACCTTCCAATATTTTTTCTGTTCCAGGAGGCATTATTTTTGATAAACAATTATTCCAATTTTCAGCTGATCGATCATTTGTTAAACAGAAAGTTAACGATCCTATTTTTGTATTAATATTAACAGATTGATTATTTAAAACATCATAAACTGTATTGCTTAAGCACTTCTCATTGGCATTCTCTTGTAGGGAGTGAGTTTCTTCTTTAATAGATTTAGAAGATACTATTTCTTCTTTATGTTTATCTAGAAAAAATAAAATTATTACATTTATATAAATTTAAATCAGTTTTATAGACTTACAATAGTAGTGTTATTTCAGTTTTTGATGGAAGGGGCAAATATAATTATTTAAAAATGCTAAAAAATTTAGAATCAAACCAAAATATTTAACTCCTATAATTTTCTATTAACTTAATTTTAGCTTTGATGCGAAGCTGAGAAGGTATTGGTTTTACTATGATGTGTTTTTTTTGTGTTTGTACCACTTTTTCTCAGCTCTCACTGGAACGATTTCTTTCAACGATATGTCAAAAGATCACAAATCGTATTTAGTAGAAGGCATTACTCACAAAAATTCAAAAAATTTCTCTCGTTCCCCGTAAATGGGGGAAACCTTCAAAAAAAATTACAAATTTCAAATTTTCGACATTTTTTAAATTTTTTTACTTAAAATTGCCATAATTTTTAAAAATGACCAAATCAATATAATTTTTTTTATAGATGCTTGATGTCTTTACTTATCATTTGGTATATTTTTTTTTATAAATCTGATCGTTTATCTGCCCACGGGGGGATTTAAAATGAAACCTTATTTACAAAAAATTAACTTCTTCAACTTAACTTTTGAAAGTGTTCGGGAATTCTGACACTTTTATATATACCTTAAATTAAAGCTTATGTAATGTAATTTATTATGAAAAAAAAAATTTTGAACTTTATTTTGTCTTCACGGTGAAAATAGTTACCGAATGCTATTTTTGTGTTAAAATTCTCGATTTTATATTTTACATTTTTTACTTTAAAATGTTATAACTTTTTAAAAAATGTATAGATCAATACAATTTTTTCATGAGAAATAGTATTTATATATATTTATCATTCGACATACTTTATCTTAATGAGGATATAAATAAGGAAATAGCAGATTATATAGGTTTTGGAATAATCCACCAATTTTTTAAAATTAAACATTATTTAAAGATTTGCATCGAAGCGTTTTTTATGATAGTGATTTTAATCACTATCAGATATTATACTTGATCCAACTATGCCACATTACCACTGTGTCGCAACCCCCCTGTGCTGGGTTTTTTTATTTTATTTTTAAATCCTAATGATAAAATAAAACTCATAATTCATAAATTAACTCTTAACAAAATATATGGTTTGTTAAAATATAATTTATAGTCATTAAATTCTAAGCACCTCATTAATCAAAAAGTTTTTTTTTAAGAAAAAATATTTTAATTAATTGATTTTCATATTTCTTGATGTATTATATATTTATAAAATTAAATATATTAAATATTAAAGCCATTAAGGCTTCAACATACTTTAACTACAGTTTATGTATACTTTTTAAGCTGTTCTGACAGGGTAATTTGAAATATGTTATCTACTGATTATACAAAATTATTTGAAGTTTTAATTTTTGAATAATCTAAAAAATACTTACACGAATCAGTAGATTGATTAGCAGTTGAAATTATTTTTGCAGCAGCAGCAGCAGCAGCATTTATTTGATCAATATTAGTTTCACTTCCATTTTCTTTTTTAATTATATGCAATGATTTTGAAACACTTTTTTCATTATTAATTAACTCTTTATTTCTTAAACTTTCATCGCCATTTTTAATACACAAATTACCTATTTTAGTAGTATTGTTTTCATTATTAAAACATTCAGATGGTTCAAGTTTAGTCAATGAATTTTCAACTTTACTTTGACTTTGATCCATTAATTTTTTAATATTAGATGAACTGGATGTTTCACAATTGTTTAATTTTTTCATTTCTTGAGAATGAAATGTTGAAAATTTAACATCTTTTAATACAATACTAGTAGAGGTGTTAGCTTCAGATGAATGAAATGCTGACATTTTTAATTCTTCTTTGACAACAGTTTCTTGATTATTAGAACTAACCAGAGATTGATTACTAATAGAAATTGTCTTATTAACAACATTTCCAATACTATTAATTGTGTTTTGAGTTTCTGATCGAATTAAATTATCAATTTGTTCAGGTTTAGTTTTAGACTGAAGAGCATGTATTACACCAAAAGAGCTTTGTGATGCTTGACTTTTCTTTATGACTGGAAATGATAAATGTTTATCTGAATCAATATTTATTTGATTTTTATCTGATAGAAGAGTTGAAGTTATATCAATTGATTTACTTATTTTATGATTAGAATTCTGTAAAGTGTTTAAAAATAGTTCGTTGTTAATAGATTTCGCAGATTGTGCATTATCACTAGTTAATGCTGATAATAATGTAGATTCATTGAGATTTTGTCCTAACACATTAGCTGCAGTAATTTTAATATCATTAGAACTAGCATCTTTAGTAGTAATTTGATGAAAAAGTACAGGGCTTCCATGACCAACTGCTAAAGGACAATGTAAACGATACATTTTTGCATTTTTTCCAGATGCGACAAGAAGTCTAACATTCCCTGCACTGCCCTCAGGTATTGATAAAAAAGGTCCAGAAGTTCCACTGACAACTATTTGAGTAGCTTGAGATACTTTTTGTTTTGAATCAGTATCAACATTTATTAGTTTAGAACTTTCATTTACTAATGAATTTTCAATTAATGAGGATTCTGAGACAACTGATGAAGTATTTTGATCTTCTGAATTTCTAGAGGGAGATTCCACAATATGTGAAAACTGACTAACAGCATTAGAACTATCTTCACTATCAAGGGCTTGTTCTGAAGTTGGACTCATTTCCATACCAGATGATGAGCATGAGGTTTGTTGAGAGCAAGTTTTCAAATTTAACTGACTGGTTTTTTTACGTTTTGCATTAGGACTAGGATTAGTTGGAGGATTAGTTCTACGTCTAGGTGCTGGTTTATTTTTTAACTCTGGAGAATTACGTAACTGCTCAGCATATTTATCTAATATAGCGTAAATTCGTTGAGTTGTTTGTTCATCTTCTTGTAACTTAGGCATTGGTTTTTGTAATACTGGAACTTTAACAGATGAAGTAGATGGTGAATTATTAGATGTTTTGATGATGGGCTTAGACTTTGATGTAATTAGTTTAGAGCATTGTGAAGATCCATCAATTGGTTTCAGATTTGTGTTATTATTTGGTGATACTATTGTAGTGGGAGTAACACTACGAACTACAATTATCGGCGTGGTTTTAACAGTAGAATCTTTATCATCATTAGTACTTAAATTATTTGATAATGTTTGATTAAGAAATGAAAAAGTACAAAAATCTCTCTGGTTATTACCACTATTTTTTTTATTTGAAGAGAAAATTGTCTGATTATTTTCTGTAGTTATCAAGTCAACATTTTCTGTAGGAGAATGCAATAATTCATGGTTTATTTGTGGTATCATATTACCAGTATTCATTTCATTCATTAGTGACTTTTTTCGCACTTCTTCTAATACAGATTCAAATTCTCTAACTTGTTCCATGGTCTCTTCAGTAACATTAGTTTTATTAGGTGAATTTCCTACACTTTTATCATTTGTAGAGTCTATTGTAGTGGTTTTTACTACATTTGGAACACTTATTAATCTTTCAGTACTTGATATAGTTTGAACTTCAATATTTTGCTTATTTTGACGAATGAAATTTTGTTGAAAATTAGGATGTTTGCGCAATACTACACTTTGAATTAAAGATGGAGATACTTTCAATTGTCTTTGTACCTGAGTAAACCCCTGTACAGGCTTCACTAAAGTTGGATTAGCTTTTAAATCACCACTTTGGATAGGTATTGTGTACACAACATTTGGAGTAAGGGATTCTACTGATGAATTGGTGCTGGTAGTTGCAAATGAAGTAATAACTTTTGTAACAGATGTGGCTGTATTTTCTTTTTTCATCACAGTATTAGAGTCTATAACAGCAGTATGAAGTTGATGATTAGATGAACATTGCTGAAGTATATTTTTTAAAGGTGAACTAGTTTTACAAGCCATTATAACATTACTTTTGTTATTTCCAACAGTCAAAATGTTATTGGGCTTGGTTACATTAACATGTTGTATTTTACTTTCCACTATTTTTCCAGTTATATTACCAGTGGAACATTGTTCAGATTCTCGATTAGTTTGTACTCCTTTAGAAGATGAATACACACGTGGAGCACTTGTTTGGACTTTATTGACTACTAATACTGGACTTGATGATGGACTATTTTGAATATTGGTAACACACAATGTTGAATTATCAGTAATGTTTGATGGACCTTGGTATTTTGTTTTTCCAAAAACTTGTTGGAATCTTGGAAGCATAGATCCTGTAATAGTAACATTTGGAGAAGCATTGGGAGAAAGTTTTGGTCTTTCCATGTTATCTTTTTGGAACTTATTTTGAGTTTTAATAGAAAAATTATTTAATTTAGTAGAAATGGTAGACTTAGCAGTATTTACTTGTCCAGTACTCTCATCTTGAGCAGCATACAATGTTCCTTTTTCAAAGATTAGCATATCAGACATATTAGCTTGTTTAAGTGCTTTAGTTTTACTTTCATAAGTCTTCATATTACCACGTTTATTATTTAATAAAGGAGTAATTTCTTTTTCTTGAGTTACTTTTGATGAATTTTCGGTGGAATTTTGTGAGTTTGTAAAATTAGATTGGTTGTTTTTTTCCATGCATTGAAGAAGTCTTTGGGACTCCGAATTACTAGTGACAAATTGTATTGCTTCAGAGGTAGCAGTAAAAGTCTGACTAATCAATTTCATATTGTCATTCTTCTTTTGCTCATCAGAAACTTTAATTTGAAAACTCTGATTTTTATCAGGTGATTGTACTTCTTGGTTTTGAGTGGAAACAACATATAAAGATTTGTTTGCTTTTAAAACTTGACTTTGAGTTGATGTTATCATTAAAGATATTACTGAAGTATTAGGACTAGAAACTGTATTTGTAGAACATATTTGTTGAGCACAAGGTTGGGTTTGAATATTAGACACAGGATTTAGAGTTGATACACTTGGTTTACTTTGTTTTACACAAGTAGATGGGTTGCTAATTTCTAAATTTTCGGCCTTGTTAATTGATAAATTTGTAAACAACTGAGATTGAATATTTGATGATGAAAGACCACTATGTGATGCTGCAGTAGATGTTTGTACAGATATATTTTTTTGTATTTTAATTGGTGATACACATCCAGTGACAGCCATATTGTAATTTTTATTACCAGGAAGAGAAGAGATTGTTGTTGGCAATGACAGATCAACAAAACGATCAACAGCTTTTAAACAATATATTGTTTTTTTAGATGAATTATTGACTTGCCCTGTTGATTGAATAGCAGAATTTGATACGTTTGGGACATCTAATGTTGATAAATGGGTAGTATTTTCAACAGAAGACCGCTGATTAGAAATTTGTAGTTCAGTATTGTTCCGACTAGATGTTTGTAAATTATTTGTTTTATACATTGGTTTTAAACTGTTTGTATCAGCGGATTTCTCTATTTCAAATTGAGCTGAACTGTTTTCTGTTTTAATACTATTAAAACTAGTCTCTCCTTCATCATCAGTTACTTTAGGATTAGATTTTGATTCCGTTATAGAACTAAAATTATTTGGGGAATGGGTTTCAGTTTGGCTATCATTATTTTCTGCCTTTTCAGTCTCATTATTTAGTTGAGGATTTGAAATAGATTCATTTTGTTGTACATTTGAAAAGCTATTCGCAGAAGTTTGTATTTGTACAACATTTACAATATGATTAGTATTTGAAGGCATAATGTAATCTAATGAATTAAGGTGAGGTATCCTATTAGATAACATATTCAAATACTTTTTTTTTGAGTGATCAATACTTTTGTTTTTTGTATTGTGCATTTTTAATTTATCATCAAATTGTTTATTATTGACAGTATTAAAAATATGTTTTATTGAATCTACACTACTATTTTCCAAAGCATCTTTTACTAAAGAATGTTTATTTTTACTTCTATTGCCTTTTCCTGAACACCAAGAATAAATAAAATCTTTACTTTTATTCTTATCCCTGCTTCTTTTTTCTTTCTTTGCTCTTTTAGTAGGTTTTTGTTTATCAACTTTTTTATTATTTAAATTAATTTTTTCCTCCAAAAGAGAATCTAAAGAATCATCACGCTCAAAATCAGAAAGCTTGTTTTTATTAAGAGCATCTTCATTGAGTAAAGAATCAACTGCTGAATCATCAGTTTCCTCATAATTTCTGGAAATTCTTAAATTTCGGCGATTTCTAGTAAATACATCTAATTGCTTATCAACATCTACATTAAAATATAGGTTAAATGTAGAACTAGATGAGGTAACAGACTCCAAATCATCACTAGAATTTTCACTAGTAAAAAAGTAACCTTTTTCAATGTCATCCTGTTTTTTATTTTTTGTTTTAGAACAATCCGAACTGTTAGTTTTGAATTTCAAAAAAGTTAAATTAGGGTACTCTGTACTACGTTGTAATACTAAATCTAAATCTTCTAAATACTGATTACACAATAACTTTAACTCTAACCACTCTAAACTCCAATTAAATGATTCATAGCGAGGATTGTTAATAACTCCTATTAAATCATTGTAAAGAGGTTGTGATAACGTTACTGAGCAAGATTTCCTCAAATCACCATTATTGAGTTCACAATTTACCATTTTTGAATTATCAGCCTCAATGATTTTAGAATTTGTATTACTAAAACCAAATGTGTAATAATTGTGTTTAGGGTTTAAGTATGATCCCTTTTCATCTTTATCACAGGTATTTTCAGGAACATTAATTTGATGTTCTGAGAACTTTTTACCACTTAAAATAGCTATTTTTTCAATCCTAGCCAAAAGGTCATTTGAAGGCATTAATGAATATGCAGTTAAAATACATTCACGGCACAAAAAAAAATCATTTTCAAGTAAATTGGCTAATTTTAAATAACCTTGGACTAGATTTTTCAAAGATTCAAATGCTTTTTCTTTATTGTTACTTTGCTTGTATTTTTCTTTTTCATTAATATTGGCTGCTAATGCTCTCACATGAATTTCAACATAAAATGACAGAGGTAACAAGGAACCAAACTGTAAACCAAACATTATTGTTATATTATTATTTATTATATTTAATAACTAGTGAGTAATATTTAAATGAAATTTAAATTAATTATGAAAAGCGACTAGATTATAAATAAATATATTTAATGATAGAACAATTCCATTGAAAAAATCATAATATTAATATTTCTAAAATATCATCAAGAAGTATGACTTATATTTAATAAATGACAAATATAAAATAAATTAATAGTAAATAAACATTTTAATTTGAAAATCAATTACTATAAACTTACTTTTTGTTTTAGTTTTTCACACATAATGTAAATATGATTTGCAGTTGGAGCCAAGTTGATAAAATTACGAATCATGTCACATAATGTTATATTATTTAACTCGGTTTTAAACTTTGATTTTAATAGTATAGAAAATATTGTGCTCCAGTTATTTATAAGTATTGTGAAGTCATCTAGATACTTTGAATGGGTCAGAGATGTTGCCACCAAAATACATGCTGCTATCTCACAAACAACAATTTGATGCTTACATATCCTAGGTTGTTTGTGAGCTTCTTGCCGAAAATGTAGAAATGATTTAATTTTTTTAGTATATCTATCCATAAGGTTTTTTCCATCATCTTTAGGTGTAAATTGTTTTAGCTAAATATATATTATATTAAATTACAATATTATTAAATTAACTAAAAATTTTAATTATCACTCAACCCTTTCAACAACGCAGTATCTCAAAAAAGTAGATTTTAAAAATTAAAATATATTAGAAATCTCTTTTTTAATAGCTAAATATTATAAGAATTCAGAAATATACTACACAATTAGGATACTCTGATTTTTGAAATACAATATTGAAAGGATAAAATTTATATGTTAATTATTTTAATGAAATATTATAATTTACTTGGTTGATAAGCTCTTCCTTTTTATTTGCCCTATGAAGACATGCAAAATAAATATCTCTAATGAACTCTATATCAGTTTGACCAAATAAAGATTTGTATAATGGTTGACTGTTATACAACTTCATTGCTAAAGATGATAATTTTAAAGCTTGATTTTCACATTTTGACTCACAGAGCATCCTCAAACGTAAAGCAAACAGTCCAGTATTTTCAAAGTTGAAATATTGTACAACTGAGGAGTATAAAATATTAATAATTTATAATTTAATAAAACTAATAATATATTTTCTTAGATTAATAAAATTTTAAATAAAAATTCTATTTCACCTTCTTCAAGAGAAGGATTAACATGCAATAATTTCTGTAAGCCATTATTGCTCCATGGATTATTAATAGTAGTCATCAACCATTGACAACTTTTAATTGCATCTTGTTGACAATTTGTTATTTGTAAACTGTATAATATTTGTCCTAGTACTATTAAAAAATCGTTTTTTGTATCTATGGTAATAAACTCCCACTGAGGTTCCAGCACTAAAGAAGCTGATTCACTATAAAAAAAGTAAAACAAATTTATTTTAATTAAAAAAAATACTTAAAAAATAGTTATTATTGTACATTCAGTAATTATTTTCAACTAACATCGTGGTTTTTAGATTTTTTCAAATACTAATAAGTTAAAATAAAATACTAATTATTATGAATATCATAGTAGTATTTTGTTTTAATTTTGAACTGTACCATTGAGATTTGTTCATTTTATTAATTTAATTAAATATTATATATTATTACTATTGGTTTTTAAATATTAATTATAATTATCATCATTTTGAATAATTATTTCAAATGAAAAAAAATCTTGATATATTAATAATAATAAAACTTATCTAATTATTGAAAAACTAAGGATTTATTAAACTTTAAAATATTTGTAAGAGAAATTGATAATTTCAACTTCTCTTTAATTTTAATACTTTTAATGATAACAAATAGAAACTTCTTGATTAAACACTCAGTTTTAAAAACTGAAAAGGACTTGTTATTGTAAAGTATTTTGATTGCTCATTCTATATCTAATTATCAACATAATAGTTTTAAATTTTGTCATCTTGCCATGTGTTAAATTTAGCCATAAATTAATAAAACTATTTAACTTGAGAGTTGAAATTTTAACTAATCATGATGATGTTCACTTATTAGGGAGCATCTAGTAGCTTAACCAATTAATAGATAAGTATAAAAGATAAGATATTTAACAAATTTTTAAATGTGACAATATTCTTTGGAATAATTCAATTTCAGATAATGAAACATTGTTTTTGAAATTCAAATAAGTACTTTAAATTTTTATTAAAAGCTATAAAAATATAATTTTCTGATAATTTTGGAACCTCTGGCAGTAATTATATTGTATAACTGTAGAGTATACATTATAGGTGTATGAGGAAATTTGTATAAGGTAAATTCTGATTTACCATTCGGTAAATCAGAATATATATATTAATTTATATTAAAAATATATATTTTATAAATATATATTAATTTTCAAAAAACAATAAATCAATATTCAATTTGTTTACTTCATATAAATGGTAAAATCTAAATAAAACAAATTATATACACTTTGCATTTTAAAAATTAGTAGTTTAAATTTAAAAACAGTTAATTTATTAATTTATTTATAACTATGAAGTTGATAAACAGGTGTCCATCAATAACTTAATAATTAACACATATCTTTCAAAATGCATTAACAAAATAAATATTATGAAACTAAAAATTATGTAAATTGCCTTACAGTGTTGCTTGTCTCATGAAAACATCAGTACCAATACAAGGATCATTTGAAAATATACAGCGACAATTTTCCCATGTAGATAGCAGTCCTAATACTCTATCTTCATATTTTTTAACCATATCTCTAGCTACTGATTCAAAAACCTAAGAGTAAAAAAGTCAAAGAAAACAAATTAAATCTTTTAAGGTAAATGATATTATGTTATTATACAAACCTTTAGTTTGTTAAAATAAGTTTTTGATAAATAAACTATTCTTTTGTTTTGAGTTTTTAAACATTTTTCTGATTTATGGCATTCATTAACCACTAGCTATAAATAAAATAAACAAATAAATAAAAAAATTAATCAGAAATTGGTTTGGACTAGGGTAGCCCGTTTCAATCCAAATGAGGTCTAAAATTAACATTTTTTTTAGATGTAGCGGGCTTAAATTGATATATATATTCAAGTTAGGTCAGATTAAGCTTCTTTTGAAAAAAAATTAGATTTTATGTGTAATTGATCAAAATGATCACTATTCTTCATAAAATATTAGTAACAGTGAAAAAAATATTTTGAATTTCAATTGTTATAACATTTTTTAATTACATATAATATATTTTTCCATTTTTATAATTTTCAAGAACATCTTTAATTTTTTAAAGGCAACATAAATATAAATTAAGTTTAAATTTTAGAAAATGTTCTCTGCCACATCCCGAGTTTATACTAAGTTCTATAAACTTCCAAAATAGCAGTTTAGATATTGTTATCGACAAATTTTTTTCCTAATTAGAATATATTTTGACATTTAAGCTTAATTTATAATTATGTTGCTATTTACAAGAATTAGGTCGAAACTTTTATTAAGTATTAGAAATCAATCTAAAGAAGTAGTTAACAATAATTCAACTACCAAGTATAGTATAAGTGATCCATTAATCACAAACAACTCAATTACTCTCAGAATAAAAATAATTTTGATTTTTTTTTTTTATTCTTAACTACATATTAAAATTTTTCAAATTATTAATTATGTAATACTTTATTTGTTCATTCCTTATATCTTGTAAGAATGTCACTGTTTTTTCAAATGTAAATACAAATTTTGAATATAATAAAAGGTTAAAGGTCTTTTGTTAATATTAAATAGTGTCTGAATTTTCAATATAACTTTATCCGTTAATTAGATATAACAGTTTAGTTTTAGATGTTATAGAGATGAGTAAGAAATGCCCATGAACTCAGATCTGTAGGTATTATTATGCCATACCTATGCATATTCAAAGAGTCCTGTTCCTCTGGTGAAATTAAGTATCTTTTTGGGATTTTTATGTTTTTAATATCTTCTTTTTTGAGAAAAGAATGTTCCAAATGTTTAGATCTTAATATGGCTAGAGTATATCACATTCACACATAATGTAAAATTAATCTTCTTCTTTTGTTCCACACTTCTTACACAATGATGATTCTGTCACTACCACTGAGTTAAGATGTTTAAACAGATGGCTGTATCTTATCAGTAGTCCAGTCAAAGTGCTTATTTGTTATTTAGTCATGTTATTAAGATCATTCAGTAGAAAACCGGGATTCCTAGTAAATATTTTTGATTGCCCCTTAGTACCATAAAGTAACTACATATTTTCCTGTGTTGTTCTTTACATCAGTTAGGATAGTTATGTTCTTTTTCTGGAATACTAGCAGATTCTGGGCTCCTACTAGTATTGCCATTACCTCTGCTTGGAACACAGAGGTTATTTTGACCAATGACATGCTGATATTTATGGTAAATTTTAATCCCCAGGGTATTATACTAACTGGTCACTAATGGATTCATTTATAACGAGTTCATTTACAGGTATACAAAGATTATTGTCAATTATGATTTTATTGGCTAAAAATAAAAATGATTTATATTTTGGAAAAAATTGTATATTTAAGTCTTCAGTTACAACACTGTGTCTTAAAAGTACCTTTATATTATCACTCAATAGTATTGTAATTGATAATAACCTTTGAATAGCAATGCCTTAAAAAAACAATCAATTACATATATTATAACTTCAAAAATTAAAACTTTTAAGTGTTATAATTGACAAATGAATTAAGTAAAATTAAAAAGTTCAATCTTGTAAAGTAAAAATAATATATTGTTATCAATTTAAACAATTAAAACTACATTTTTTCATTTAAAAAAATATTTGACATCCCTACAATTTATAATAGATGAACACGGAAAGTAAAAGTACTACATAGCAAATAAAAAAAAAATATATATATATATACACGCACACACACTCACTCACGTNGCCACTTTCAGGGGTCAAACAGGCTCAAATTACTAAGTTTTCAAGCCTATTAATAGAATTTTGTACTGGCTGATGATATATTAAGAATAACTTAACAAAATTTACAAATTCATATAAATCAGATCTTTAGTTATGATAATGGAAAAATTGCATTAAGTTGTATGATACAAAAATGATAAAATTATATTTTTTGGAAAATGATATATTGTACATAGTATTGCTTTCTAGTTTTGAGCAACCTAAAGAATGTATTGTCAAGTAATTTTTTCAACTCTGATTGAAAGTTAAAAACTTGTTTCGAAATTAAATTTTGCAGTATGTTGATTGTTATCTCTTTTTAAGTTTGAAACTATTGAAAATCATAAAAAATGAAAACACATTTTTGAAAAATAACCCTTTAATAACAGTAATATAGTTTAAAAATGTTGTATTTTATTAGGTACTTATCTCATTTGTTTTTAAGTTTTTATAAATATAAATATTATTTTTTTATAAAAATTATTAAAATTATTTATCATTAATGAAATTCAATTAGTGATATTCATTTAAATTAAATAAAACTTATGAAATCAATATTCAATATTTTGAAAATTTTTACAAAATAATCCATTTATTAATAGAAAACCAATCAATAGATAAAGGATAGATGTCAATACAATTAACTCACAGGAAATGTTTAAAATCATTTCTAGGATGAAATCAATAAAGTAACAATATTAACAAAAAAATTGAAATATTATGGATTTTTATAAATTATACTGTTTATTATTTATTTATATATTGTTAAAACTTTGCCACTTTACATAAGGTCGACAACCTGTATAAAATCCTATCAAATTTAAGGTAATGCTGACCCCAAATTGTTAAGATAGAAGTAAAAAATTTAATATGATAATTTATTGTTATAAATTTCATGGATTTTTTTAAATAAAATTATTAGTAAAAAAAAAAAATTCTGTGAACATCAGTTCATATGATTGAAATATTAAAATTTTTATTTTTACATTCAATTATTCAATTAAATATTTCAGAATTGGATAGTACTCTAGTACATTAACAAAAATAGCTAAGTTACACAACTTTTAATATGTACTAAAAAATATTGAGATTAGAAAAACTAAAAAAGAAACATTAGAAGAACTGTAGTAATAAAAATCTAAAATCAGATAATATAACAAAGAGTAAGGATGTTTTATGTTTAGAAAAAATGTGTTTGGAAATGTTCAATTTTCTATTATTCTATGTTCTATTAAAAACCTATTCAATCTTTAGTTCATTCTTCAAAAAAATAAAAAGGTTAAATTTAACAAAAATTAAATAAATATATATAATCAAAATTAATTTTTGTTCACTAAAAGAATACACATTACTGGGTTTTTTACACAATTAATATTAATATTTAATTTATATACAATTATTATGTTTTAGTAAATACTTTTCATGTTTTAAACTATTATCAATATTCATTAAATGGACTAAAATCTTTATTTTTTATACATATTGTAACCATAAAATATTCAAATATAGATTTTACTAACATTTTATAACATAAAGCTGCTAAAAACAGTCTTTCAAAAAAAAAGGTTTAATGACAAGTTATAATAAAAATAAATTAATGAAGTAGAACTTACTGCTCGAATGTTTCCTAAATATGTCCCACCTCCACACCAACAAGAAGAAAACTTAGGTTTCTGTTGGAAAGCAGATTCACTGGACTGATTTGAAGAAATCTGTCTTTTAGTTGCCATCTTTTAATATCACATCATTCTTTGAAAAGGCCCATTTGTAAGGTCAGTGAATCCTACATCATTTTCTAAGACCAAACCATATTTATATTACATGTAAATTTTTAGATGACTACATATACAACTTTAAAATTCAATCAGACTTTTACGCGTCAACGGTCAAATGTTTCACAATATTATATATTTAAAAATTTCACAGTCATATTCATTTTATTATTGTACTACATAGTTAATATTGTAATGGCACCAAACGCGATACTTAAGAAACAGAAAAGACAAATGTTAATTATCTACGATAAGACGTTTTCACGGAAAATTCACTTATAATCACATATTATTTACGTAAACAGTACGTACATAGTTTTCAATCGCAAAGTAATTCTTATTTACTAACCCTTAACACTCCAATCCCATTTCATTAAATAAAACAGGATAAAAAACAAATGAAAATGAAAATACATACATAATAAAATATTATTACATATATATATATATAAATGAATATAATATATATATATATACATTGTTATGTATTATTTCCTCGAACCAAGATAACAGGACGTGTGATGCATATTATACAGTGTGTGCAATGTGCGTAATGTAAGTGTATGGTACGAGTGTGCGTGTTGATGGGGAGAAAAAAATTTTTGTACAATCATCAAAATTAGAAGTGCACACAGAACGATAAGTGGCAGTTTTATTAGTACAGACCACATAGGAGGTGGTGAATATTGCACTCATAGCTCATGCAGTGTGACCGCTTCCGACATAAACGTGCAGATGGACAATCATGATTCACCCCTGTCACGTCCACGCAGAAAGCAAAGCTCAAACAGTGAAAACCCACCCTTTTAAATCCTCAAGGCTACATTATAGTCGTAGTCCTATCTTTACGGGAAATACTGTTCACTAGAAAAAGGCGACACTGCTCTTTAACATTCTGATAACAAACTGCAACTAGAAATATTTTTCTCAGCACTCCTAAACATTGTCTTAAAATAATAATTCAAATAACCATACACTCTCTATGTTATTCAATATTTACCATGTTTACACAATAATTAATTTACACTGTAATAATTAATTGAATTTAATAGATTATATTCCTAATTTTTTTATTGATAACTGAAAAATGATGAAGTGTAATTTGTTTTATTGACACTAGTAATGATATTTCACAAAAGACGTATATAGAAATTGTACGCTCTAAGAAAAAAAAAATGCCACCCCCCAAAATTTTTTTTTTGTATTACTTTTATATTAAAAAAAAAAATTAAAGTGAAGCCAAAAATTTCTTTACCACTCCAAGCATATAAGGTTTATATTTCAATATATTCATTAATAAACATAAGTAAAAAATGTATTCATTTATACTTAAGATACATAAAATATATTGTATATTTATAACAATCTTCTTCTTTTTCCTCGCCTTAATTCCGACTGCTATCACCCAGACCACCTTTATCCTAAACTTCCACTTGACACGATCACCCACATCATCTACACTCACATCAGCCGTTCTCATATCGCATTCAATTACATACCTCCATCTCTTTTTTGGTCTTCCTTTACCTCTCCTTCCTTCAAAACATTTATTTTTATAACTGTTCTAACAGCTTCCGATTCTTTTCTCCTCATAATATGACCATATCATATAAATCTATTTTCTATCATCTTATCCACGATTGACGTTACACCTATACTCCCTCTTATATGCTCGTTCCTTATTCTATCTATTCTAGTCACTCCACTCATCCTTCTAAGCATTCTCATCTTTGCTACAGTCACTCTCAGTCCTATTATCTTGTCAACCGCCCAACACTCTAAACAATACATCATAGCTGGCCTCACTACAATCTTGTAAAATTTACCTTTCAGCCTCGTTGAAATTCTTACCACTTCACTCACTCACACTTAATTCTGTGTCTTACATACTTGTCAATACCACCGTTCTTTTGAACAACTGACCCTAAATACTTAAAACTTTCCACCTCTTCAATAACGTCCTCGCCTATTTTCATTGATCTCCTCATTTCACCTACCTAGTGTTCTCCTTAGTCAAACACGTACTCTATATAATCTGTCCCACTTTTACTTATTCTTAAACCCTTTTCTCCAAAAGCTGATATCCACACCTCTAGCCTTTTATTAATTTCCTACCTATTTTCTCCTATTAACACTATATCATCAACGAATAACATGCACTACGGTACCTCTATAAATACCTTGTATTTCTCTAGTGATTTCATCCAACACTTAAGAAAATAATTAAGGGCTTAAAGTAGAACCTTGGTGCACTTCTACTCTAACTCTAAAATCATCTGTTACTTCTTTTACGATTTTTACTCTGGTACAAATACCATCACACATATCTTCAATTATATTAATGTACCTTTTTGGGACTTTTTTTCATTTATAACAATGAAAATAAAAATTTAAAATATTTTCTTCAAGCTTTTTTGGCAAATGTGTTAATTATATCATAAGCCAATGTCAAATCTGATTCTATGATTAAAACTATATGTTTTCTACATTTGTCGTAGAATATTAGTATTTAATACTTTATATTGTTGAATATTAAATTTGTGCAACAAATTACTATCTACAGCCTACAAAAATATTATTCATATTCTAAAAAATAGTTAATTGTATATATATAACATTTAAACCTTCTTTGTAAGAGAAGCCAATACCCGTATATTATAAGTCCATATTTAAATTTTATATTTGCAGAGATTTTATCTAATAATACAAAGCGAAATCTACTTATATAAAAACCAATATATATATATATAACAATATTTGTGGACAAAAATTACATTTCTTGTATAAGGCTCGTGAAAATAGTTCAGTAATTTTGAGTGTATTAAATATATATTAATTCAAATATCGATTTAAAATATCAATTTATATATATATATATAGAAAAATATCCTATATATGATTGAAGTTTAAGAATAACAAAAAATAAATAATAATTAAGAAATAATCTTGCTTAAAATTAGTTTAATACTTTTAGCTTCGATGCGAAGCTGAGAAGGTATTGGTTTTACTAAGATGTGTTTTTTTTTCTTTTTTCTTTTTTTTTTTTGTGTCTGTTACCACTTTTTCTTAGCTCTCACCGAACGGATGTCTTTCAACGATACGTCAAAAGATCACAAATCGTATCTAGTCGAAGACATTACCCTTCAAAATTGAAAAAATTTCCCTCGTTCCCTATAAATGGGGGAAACCTTCAAAAAAATTACAAATTTAAAAATCGCTAATTTTCAAAATTTTTTCAATTTTTTTTACTAAAAAACGCCGTAACTTTTTTAAAAAATGAACATATCAATATAAATTTTTTTTATATAGATGCTTGATGACTTTACTTATCATTTGGTATATTTTTTTTGTAAATCTGACACTTAACCTGCCCACAGGGGGGGATTTAAAATGACAACTTTTTCACAAAAAATTTACTTTTTCAACATAACTTTTGAAAATGTTCCTGAAGGTCTGACACTTTTATATATATCTTAAATTAAAGCTAATGTAATATACTTTAATTTGAAAAAAAAAAATTTGACCTCTGGACTTGTCTTCGTGGTGAAAGTTGACATCAAAGTTAATAAAAAATTACGATTTTTGTAAAATAATTTTTTTTTATATTTTTAACTTAATAATGCTCTAACTTTTTCAAAAATGAACATATCAATATAATTTTTTTTTATATAGATGCTTGATGTCTTTACTTATCATTTGGTATATTTTTTTTGTAAATCTGACACTTAACCTGCCCACAGGGGGGGATTTAAAATGACAACTTTTTCACAAAAAATTAACTTTTTCAACTTAACTTTTGAAAATGTTCCGGAAGGTCTGACACTTTTATATATATCTTAAATTAAAGCTTATGTAATATCCTTTAATTTGAAAAAAAAAAATTTGACCTCTGGACTTGTCTTCGTGGTGAAAGTTGACATCAAAGTTAATAAAAAATTACGATTTTTGTAAAATAATTTTTTTTTATATTTTTAACTTAATAATCCTCTAACTTTTTCAAAAATGAACATATCAATATAATTTTTTTTTATATAGATGCTTGATGTCTTTACTTATCATTTGGTATATTTTTTTTGTAAATCTGACACTTAACCTGCCCACAGGGGGGGATTTAAAATGACAACTTTTTCACAAAAAATTAACTTTTTCAACTTAACTTTTGAAAATGTTCCGGAAGGTCTGACACTTTTATATATATCTTAAATTAAAGCTAATGTAATATACTTTAATTTGAAAATGGCTACCGAATGCTATTTTAACTATTTTAAGTGTGAAAATTCTCGATTTTATTATTTATATTATATTTAACTTTATAATGCTATAACTTATTGAAAAGTTTATGGATCCACACAATTTTTTTATGAGAAATAATATTTTTTAATAAACCCTTTTTCATTCGACATACTTTATCTTAATCGACATATTAATAAGGAACCAGCAGATCAAGTAGCTTTTGGAATAAAACACCAATTTTTTTAAAATTAAACACTATCTAAAGATTTGCATCGAAGCGCTTATTTTTGATAGTGATTTTAATCACTGTCAGATATCATTATACTTGATATAACTATACCACGTCACAACTGTGCCGCGACCCCCCTGTGCTGGTTTTTTTTTATATTTATGATACATACTAAATTGTGTACTGTTGAAAAAATAATATTTTTTCAAAGTGAACTTAATTTATTAGATGCCGACCCAACCCAACCCAACCTAACCGAAGATTGGCCTTTTACTTTTACTTTTAACGCTAACTTTATGGAGTTAGAAATGAAAATTAGAGGGGTTAATAATAATTTTACCCTCCTAAAAAATATTTTTGAATATTATATAAAAATAATTATTTATATAATAATAAAATTATCTGAAGTTTTGGATAAGCTAATTCCAATTTTGGGAGAGTTTAGCTTCCAAAGACAAGATTCTAAGAAAATGGCGAGATTTATTTGATTAATAATGTCGGCGATCACAGATTGTTATTGTATATTACATCAGTGTGGTCAGTGATTGTATGATATACTGATAAGAACAAAAATAAATTTAAAAATTAAATTGATTAATTAATTTAAACAATTTAAGCATTAAGAGTTACAAGACGATATCGAATAGTATCTGATATGGCTGCTTTTGTTTTTGCTCGAATGCCACTTGAACAATGTTAACTATATAGGAGTTAACTTCAGTTATTTTAATCGGGCAGAAAAACGAAGTGAAACATTAAAGACAATAAAGAAACCAATTTGGTTTCTCATAAAAAAATTAGCACATAGAAAACAAGTCATCCAGATAACTTTATTGCAATTTATTTGACGTATATTTAAAGGTATTGAATTCTTGAAATATTATCAAGAATTAAAAAGAAAAAGTTAAGTTTTTATGCTAATGTTTCTAAGTTTAAAAATAATATTATCCTTAATTATGATAAAGTTCAAAATAATTTTTTCAAATTTGAGGGTCTTGCCTGAATTTTAGAATTTTGGACGTATTAATTGACGTAGTAATTTTGATTTAGAAGAAGCTTAGTATTCAGTGGCACCGATCAACTACATGTATGATAGATCTTGTATTATTTTTTAAGAAGAATTGTTACTAGGAGAATAATTTGCAGCCCATGGATTAAACATGTGCGTACCTGAAATTTTGTGTTATTAATCTGCCTTAGCTTCTCAACATACAAATAAGAGATAAAAAAATACTACTCTGTTTCGCCATACAATAACTATACATAAAAAATATTTTAAGTAATGTTATTGGTGGGTACTGGGAAACTGAACAACTAAATAGTGTTCAAAATATTTGTAGTAATATACCTATGAAGATACACGGAAAAAAACAATGCGAGTGCTTTTTTGTTAATTGAGAATATAGTGTATTAAATAAAAAAATTCCAAAACAAATTTTTTTACAAACTAAAAATTTCAAAGAAAGTTCAATATAAAGGTTTTATATGTAGTTATAAATTTTCAGTTATGCTTGCAACCTTCGATAACAAAACATGCGAGTCATAAAACAAAAAAAAAACTTACCACTTAAAAAAATAATACACTATTATTGTAGTGTATTTTTTTAGCAAAATATCAACTTTGAAAAAAAGTGACTCTTATCATTTTTTCTGTGAACCTTTTAAATACACAAAAACTTCTTTGGACATAATTATTATGACTACCCAGGATTAATTGCAATCGAGGAATTTTTTTTTCATTATTTCTTTGTGCTTCCAACGTTTATTTTCAACTGTTTATTAAATAAAACAATTTACCATTAAAAAATTATCACTGAACTACAGTTTTACTTTTTTGAAAATTTATTTTTTATTTGTGTGAATATCAGTGAAACCTAAGTTTAAAAAACTTATTTAATATATTTATAAATTTTTATCAACTTTTACAAAAAACAATATGTAAATAATCGTATTGTTACTGTTCATTTTATCAGTCAAATTAAATTAAAATTATTCATTAACCTAAAAATGTGTACAATATCTAATATCAGAACATATTTATGAACTAAAAAAGCAGAATAAACAAGCATATTATACAAATATGATTTTTTAACGATTAATGTTTCATTATAATAATAATACATCATATTGTTAATAATGATATAATCATGAATAATGTTAATAATAATAATAATAAAGGATAATCAAAAAATACACTACAGAATATTTAAAAATCTATTTTCTAAGAATAATTAATTTATAATAGTTATAATAAAATACTAAGAACAATACAAAAATTGATGATGACTATACATCTACTCTGTCAAATCTAACTAAAATGTATGTAAAAATATTTAACTTAAAATTAAACCATTTGGTTTAGAATAAAAATGAGATAATAAAAATGATCATAAAGTGAAAATAAAATAAAGGCGTAAAAATGATTAAAATGGTCGATTTAGTTAAGTTGAATTAAATTTTATAACTACGCAATTATTTAAGTGAAAAATAGATTTTGAACTGAATGTTATCTAATTATTTTTGAGGGGTTTTTCAATATGTTTACATTTTCGAACTTTTATCTGATAATATTATGACTCACAATAAAAAACAATATGATAGAATATTTATGTTATGCAAATGTTTGTAACTCCTTATATGTACTTGAATTAAAAAAATGTTTTTGGAGAATTTAGATAATGTACGTGTATAGTGGGGGTATAATAAGATAGTAAAGATTAGAATAGGTACTTTCTGACTTTATGTCATGAGCACCTACAGATTTTATTCACACTTCGGTGGTCTCGGTTTTACATGCAAAATTACAATTAATCATCGATCCTCCACGATCGTCGTTCAATGAATTATATCTGGGCTGTACATTGCGAGGGTCGTTCAGTGGGCTCTTATCCGAGATGGTGCGCGGACGTTTTTTTTTTTTTTTTTAATGCCAAAAAACATAATTGCCATTATTCCCTGAAAAAGAACAATTCGTTTATATTTATAAAAAGGTATGAGTAAATAACTACATCTATTACAGTTTTGTTTTTATTTTTGCGAACAATTATTTAAATAGTAACTAATTTAAAACCAAAATTCTTTATAAAATCACACATTAAATTCAATAAATGTATAATTTTTATACAAAAAGAAATATATAATATAATGGTTTTTACTTAGACTAATAATATTAAAATCAAGTTTATTTTTAAAAGTTAAAATTATTATATGAAAACAAAAAATAATTAGACTGACGTTCAACTACGGTAAATGATTATTAGCATCAGCTGAACGACTAAATATTCGACCTATTGAATTTTTTAATTCCATAACCTTAATTCCATAACACTTACAACAGATTTATAATAGTAAATTATTAATACTATCTTTTATAAGACCTAATAACAGTATAATCGTTATGATTATTGACGCTATGAAAGATAATAAATACGAAATACTTTAAAGCTCGTTTTTAGCCAATAACAAGTATTTTTAATCAGACAACATTTTTTGCTCTTCAATATTATAAACAAAGCTTCTGCAAATTTTCGGTTTTACTCAACAACGCTGCTAGACAATATCTACTGTTAACGAAATCGCCAAACACTAATATAAAAGAATTAAATTTAAAATTTAAAATTATCAATCCACTCAAATCCTCTCATCAACTCTAAATTTATTAAAAAAAAAAAAAATCCTTGTCATTACAAAATATGTTAAGTATCATTAGAAATGATTCATTCATTTTTTAAATAGATTACAATGTTTTCTCATTAATAAAAAAAATCTACAAATAAATAGTTTTATAATTTTTTATATTAAAACTTAATTATTATTTTATGCATATGACATATAAAACTTAATTAATCAAAAGTAACTATTAGAAATCGTCTTCATATTGGTTTGTTAAAATCAGATTCAGATTATACTTTTTTGGTATCCCAGGACTCTGTTTTTTTAATGGGGTCTAAGAAAAGTTTTTCAAAAAACTTTATTTTTTATTACAACAGAAATAAAAATTAAAAATGATCAAAATATTAAAAATAATAAAAATATTAAAATTTTGAATTTTTTAAAAATAGCAAAACTCAAGACTAGGTTATTTTTCTTTGTAGGTCCCTATTTCTCGTGTCCTGGGTCCTATAACTCCTTTCCCCCCCTTAATCCTTAAAATTCCTCATTTGAAGCTCTAAATGAAATTCTAAATCTTCTTAGAAATTCTTTCTCAAAAATCATAATGAAGTGAGTGGCACCAATCTTCAAGTCCCACCTAGACAGCGTCCTATTTCCAAATGGAATGTTCATATTGGCCTTGTAAATTAACCATTTTAATTTAAATGAATATAATTTAATTTAATTTATTATTTGTCATATTTGTACAATTAATGTATTAATGTAACTGATATGTATAATGTGTATACAGGGTGATTGAAATCTGGTTAGACACTTATTTTTTCAGAAAATATTGAGAATTTTAAATTTTATTATAGAGAAAAAATATCAAGTTCAAAAAACTCTACCATAATATGTAGTCAAAGCATTATTTTTTTCGTCCCTTCAAGGATAAAAACCCTTATTTATAATTTTCTTAGATGGGAACCCTTATTTTTAACTTTATAATATGATAGTAAAAAAAATACAAACAATTTTGTTCTTATAATTTTTTTTATCCGATTAACCGTTCGTCCGTATCCAGTAGGAGGAGAAGAGTAATCACGTATAAGGATATAAATTTAACAATAATTCATCTAGTTTATACATGTCAATACTACTAGCTACGCATCAAAGGTAAAATAATCGTATAGTTTTTAAATAACGTTAAATTATTTTACTATAAATTTAAATAGGGGAAGTAAATGTTCGGGTAGATTTCGTTAGTACACTCAATATAGCATAAAAATTTAAGATCAAATCTTTTTTGAACACTAATTGTGTATATAAATTTTATATGATTAATTTAATGAAAATATATCACATAATATACATATTAATATAGGTAAAAATACTTATCACAAGGGACTTATTACTCTGTAGTTAAAACAGTAATAAACCGTGTTACGTTTTTGTTTTAATTACTTTTTGAAAATAATCGTGTGTAGACTATTAAATATATTATTTTAAGTGTAAACATCCGTTAAAACATAAGAAATTTTTTTAGAAATTAGTGTCAACTTCATTAACGTAATAATATAAAAGATTAAAAAACGATGCACTTCCCCTACAAAAAAATTTTTTTTGAAACTTATTTTATATACAATTATAAGACGGCTAATTATTATTGGATTTTAAAACGGGAAGAAACCAAGAAGTCTTAAAAAAAATCAATGAAATGAAGTTGTCATTAAAAAAAAGATATCTAACAATGATTAAAATAACTATCATGAGAAACGCTTCAATGCAAATCTGTAGATATTGTTTCATTTTAAGAAATTGGTGGAATATTCCAAAGGCAAAATGAATTCTTATTTCCTTATTTGTATACTGAGTATAAGTTTAATGATAAATAAGTGTAATATATGAATACATATTTAACAAATTTAAATTTATTTATTAAATATTTAATAAATCTGATCCCATTCGACGGCCACTGCACATAGAAGATAAGTTGTCGGGACAAATTAACTAATAGTAAGTAACATAAGCTTTATTTTAACATATTTCAAAGACGCAGTATTTTCGGAACATTTACAAAAGTTAAATTGAAAAAGTACTACTTTTTACACGTATGTTTCAAGTTTTGAACCCTTCTATATAAGAGGACAATTCCCGATTTAAAAAGAAAGTATGTCGGATGAAAGATATATATAATGTATTTAGAAACAAAAATTTGTGTTGATTTANTAGTAATAAGTATTTAGAAACAAAAATTTGTGTTGATTTATACATTTTTCAAAAAGATATAGTAATTTAAATTTGAAAATATAAAATCGAAAATTTTAACACAAAAATAGCTATTTTTGACTTTGGAATAGTATTTAGTACGTAGATATTAAATCGTTGGGACAAATTTTTTTTTTAATTTATAGTAAATATCATGAGCTTTAATTTAATATATTTTTAGACAACGTAGAATATCTGAAACATTTTCAAAAGTTCAGTTGAAAAAATTGACTTTTGTGAAATATTTGCTAATTTGAATCCGCGCCTATGGGTAGGTAAAGGGTCAGGTTTAAAAAAAATTGATATCAAATAAAAGAGAAATATTTGAGGTTTCAATATCAAAATAAAATTATTTTGATTCGTTCATTTTGCAATAAGTTATGGCAATCTTTAGAAAAGAAAAATGAAAAAAATGTCGAATTTTACCAATTTTTAAAATGGTAATTATTTGTGGAATTTTCACCATATACAGGGAACGAAGGGAAAATTTTTAATTTTAAAATGCAATGTCATCGACTAAATACGATTTGTGATCTTTTGATGTATTGTTGAAAGAAATCGTCCGGTAAGAACTGGAAAAAAGTGGCGACAGACAAAAAAAAAACCCACCATAGTAAAATTAATAACTTCTCAGCTTCGCATCGAAGCTAAAATATAATACTAACAAAAAATTTTATAGCTAATAGATTATCTGAATACTTGAGTTATTCAATTAACTTTTATTTTTTTAAGGAGATATTGAATTTCCTCTAGGCAATTAGTAGATAAACCCAACTAAAATATTTACTTAAAAGTAATAATGTTGTGTAATGGTTATGGAGAGTAATAATATTCATCAATATAATAAAAATAATTTCTTTCATCCATTATATAATAAAATAAAAACAAGTTTTTTGCTGTTTTAATAAATTTTAAATTTAAAGTTTTATAACGTAATTTGTATATAGTGTTGGGAAAATTCATTTTTAATCGGAACTTGTTCCGTTTCTCATTGACTTTCTAAAATAGGGACTCGTTTCTTTAAATAAAAAATAATTCGTTCCCCTATTGTATTATAAACCTAGTTTAAAATTATAGTATAGGGTATATTTTAATCGTAATTTAATAAACTAACAATTTTAGGACGAGTATTCAGTAGTTATTAACAATGTAAAATATTAACTAGTGGTAAGGCGCAGATGCTTCTATTTTTAGCACTAGACATTTCTGGCCTCACACTTCCCCCCGCCTGGGTATATAAATGTTAGAATCTAAAAGAGTTTATTTACCTATTACTATATTTTGTATTTCACATAAAAAGTTTGAAGTATTTATATACAGAGTGATAGAAGTCTGGTAAGACACTCATTTTCTCAGAAACTATTGAGAATTTTAAATTTTTGTAAAGAGAAAAAATATCAAGTTCAAAAATCTCTACATTAATATGTAGTCAAATCATTATTATTTTCGTCCTTATATAAGGTATAATAACCCTTATTTATAATTGTCTTAAATGGGAACCCTAATTTTTAATTTTATAATATGATAGAAAAAAAAATTACAAACAACTTAGTTAATACAATTTTTTGTTCAATTAACCGTTCGTCCGTTATAGCTTGTTAAAGTTAAGTGATTTTAGGCCAAATTTCTATTGTCTTTTAATGTATTAAATACAGAAGTCATTTTTTTTATTTGCTGTTGCATAAACCAAATTTTATTGATCAAGTTATGACAGGTAAATTAGCTATAAAAATGTACACGCACTAAATGAGTGATAATAATAGTAGATTCAAACCCGGTTTTCGGTGTATTATTAATAGCTAAGTCTATGGTTTTGTAAGACTAAAGGATCTAACAAAAATGCCGGTTGCACTGCCACCGATATTATGAAACGTAATAAATGGCAATACTTTTTCTGGAAGTCAAAATCTTTAAACAATTATAAAACGTATACGGTTGTTTGGAAAAAAAAATTATAAAAACAAAATTGTTTGTTAATTTTTTTTCTATTATATTATCAAATCAAAAATAGTGGTTCCCATTTAAAAAAATTATAAATAAACATTTTTATCCCAAAAGGGATAAAAAAAAAATTATTTTTCATATTATTGTAAAATTTTATAAACTTAATAATTTTTCTTTTTACAAAAATTTTAAATAATCTATAGTTTCTGAGAAAATAAGTGTCTTACCAGATTTCGATCACCCTGTATATGTTCAAAGGGTTTATCCCGTATATTTAATAAAAATAAAATAAAATAAATGTGTTCTGAAATACTTACAAATGTAAAAACTTTTTTAATCTATCTAAGTTTAAAAAAAAATACAGTTGCTAAAATATTATAATCTGAATAATAATTCTAATCAAATAGAATAAGAATTATTAAAATTTTCTATGAATAATATATGAACACTATCGAGTTGTTAATATTATATAATTTTAATAATCAATTGCTATGTAATATATCTATGTAATACAAGTCTATTATATGTTTTTATCTATTTAAAAATGTCACGTCCTAGTATGTAGGTTTTTTGTATATACTGTAATAAAAAAAAAAATGATATACTAAGCTTTGTAAAATGTATTAAACCTAATATACATTTTTTGTAAACCTTCAAACATGTTATCTTAAATTATCAAAAATAGTCATCTAAAAACAAATAATCTATATTGGCAAGGAATTTACGCCCACACAATTTTTTTTTATAATTGAAAGATAACTATTACAAATAAAAAAAAAAGGCGTACAATTTTTAAAGTATCCCTGTTAATAAGTATAAAAATACTTCCACGACCCCTCTGCAGCCGTGAGAGGTAAAAATAAGGTGACTAATAAGGTAATTAAATAAAGTAATTAGATATGGAGAAGGTCTAAAAATAAAGTGTTTAATACCAGTCGGACGACTTGAGCAGTAACTGTTTCACCAGTCATGTAAGGGAAATAGGTGTGGGTTATAAAATAATATACTCAAGTAAGATTAATACAAACAAATGGCGTAGGGGTAATAATGTAGAGGATATACATATAAAGTATTAGAAGTAGTTAGGAAAAGTGACAGAATTATATTCGTAAAATTCATTTTTGAGGAAAAAGTGTTAAATGTAGTAAGTGCCACAAGTAGGATGTAATGAAATAAACAAGGAAGTATTTTGAAAAGAGATATATAGAGTGATGTAAGGAATACCTGATAACGAGGATATAGTGATAGGCAGAGATATGAATGTAAATGTCAGTAATGAGAGAAGAGAATGTGAAAGAGTACATGCAGGAAATGATTTAGTGGGAAGAATAAGGCTGGAAAAATAATCCCGGATTTTACAGTATTGTATGATTTTGCTATGTTTAATACTAATTTTAGAAATAGGGAAGAACTTTATATAACTTATAAGAGTATGAATATTAGATCACAATTTGATTATTTTACGTGGAAGATAAAGAGTGTAAAGTAAGTAAAAGATTGATAAATCACTTCAGGCGAAAGTGTAACTACACTACTTAGACTGATGGTAATGGAATTATGGTGTAGTAAAGAGTAAACAAAAACAGAGAACACAAAAGAAAAATTGAAAAACCAAAGGTGGAATTGAAATGGAAAAAGAAAAAGAGTTTTTAAAGACAGTTAAAGAGAGGACGTTATGGAATATTGAAGGAGACATAAATGATGTGTGGAATAGATTTGTTAGTTGTGTAATTAATACTGCAAAAGAGAATGTTTGTGAAAGTAAAAGTAGAATGCCAAGAAACAAGGAAACTTGGTGATGAGATGAGGACGTTCAGAAAATATAGAGAGTATGAAAAAGCAGTTCGAAGTATAGTAGAAGAGCAATTAAGAGAATATTGAATAGAGTATAAACACATGTATAAAAAATCCAAGTGTACGGTAAGTAAGGCAAAGTCTAAGTGGTGTAATAACTGGCATGATAAGCTAGAAATAAAGGAAGGTGAAAAAAAAGTCTGCAGACTTGCAAAAGTAAGACGAAAACTATCAAAAGATGATTATAATTTAAGGTATATAGTAAGTGATGATATGAAGGTGTTAACAAGAGATAATGATGTGAAAAAAATGGGGAAAGAGTATTACTAGGAACTTGTAGATTTAGTTAATGAAAATGAGGTATGAGAGACTGTGGCATCAATAAAAAATAGAAAAGAAGTAAGATGAGATGAAGTGTCTGTAGATGTATGGAAAATATTAGGCGGTGTTGGCATAAGGTGGTTGCAGGATCTTTTTAAAAAAACCTATTAGATGAGATAATGTCAAAAGAATGAAGAATAGTATTGTGGTGCCAATATTTTAAGGTAAATGTGACATACAGGAATGCGGAAATTATAGAGGCATAAAACATATGAGTCAGTATGAAGATTTGGTAAAAGGTAATAGACAAAAGAATAATATGAGTAACATCAGTAACAAAGAATTAGTTTGTTATTTTGTCTAGAAAGTCAACGATAGAGCAGTTTTTTATGTAAGCTGTGTAATGTATTGATTTGGAGAAAACGTATGATAGAGTACCGAGAGAGGTTTTTAAGTGGGCATTAATGAGAAAAGGAGTTCCAAAAAGGTACATATCATATATGATATTATAATAAGATATAATATAATAGAGGATATATATGATGGCACTTGTATCAGAGTAAAAGTGTAAGCGGAGTAACAGAAGATTTTAGAGTAAAAGTAGAAGTGTACCAAGGTTCTGCTTTAAGCCCTTAATTATTTTCTTAAGTGTTGGATGAAATCACTAGAGAAATACAAGGTATTTATAGAGGTGCCGTAGTGCATGTTATTCGTTGATGATTTGGTGTTAATAGGAGAAAATAGGTAGGAAATTAATAAAAGGCTAGAGGTGTGGATATCAGCTTTTGGAGAAAAGGGTTTAAGAATAAGTAAAAGTGGGACAGATTATATAGAGTACGTGTTTGACTAAAGAGAAAACTAGGTATGTGAAATGAGGAGATCAATGACAATAGGCGAGGACGTTATTGAAGAGGTGGAAAGTTTTAAGTATTTAGGGTCAGTTGTTCAAAAGAACGGTGGTATTGACAAGTATGTAAGACACAGAATTAAGTGTGAGTGAGTGAAGTGGTAAGAATTTCAACGAGGCTGAAAGGTAAATTTTACAAGATTGTAGTGAGGCCAGCTATGATGTATTGTTTAGAGTGTTGGGCGGTTGACAAGATAATAGGACTGAGAGTGACTGTAGCAAAGATGAGAATGCTTAGAAGGATGAGTGGAGTGACTAGAATAGATAGAATAAGGAACGAGCATATAAGAGGGAGTATAGGTGTAACGTCAATCGTGGATAAGATGATAGAAAATAGATTTATATGATATGGTCATATTATGAGGAGAAAAGAATCGGAAGCTGTTAGAACAGTTATAAAAATAAATGTTTTGAAGGAAGGAGAGGTAAAGGAAGACCAAAAAAGAGATGGAGGTATGTANACCGGAAGCTGTTAGAACAGTTATAGAAATGAATGTTGTAGTAAGAATAGGTAAAGAAAGACCAAAAAAGAGATGGAGGATTATTATTAGATGTAATTTGTAGTTGGGATAAAGGCCAGGAAAAAGAAGAAGATACAATTCTTAAGGACTGGGTAGCTATTTTTAAATTTAAAATTGTTTGCCCTATCAACTATTTTTTACTCTGGCACCAATGGATGAAGTAATTATATAGACTTAATAAAGTCATTTTTACAATGATTAAGAAAATGCTTATCAATTATTTGTCAGCATTTTAGTAACTAACATTATTTGTCGAACATATTGAGGAAAATTATTTTTCTTTTCCAAATATTTTTAAGGGTCTTTAAGCTCTTTACTTTTCAAAGTAATACTAATAAATAATATACATATTATTATATTGTATTATAAAAGAACGAACTAATTAGTATAGTAAGCAATCATTTATACAATAAATCGAAATAAAAATTAAAAATACTAAATTTATTGAAGTTTATTTGTTTTAATATATCTTAATTTTCAATTGTTAAGAAAATATGTATTATTTTTTATAATAAAGTCAAGTGAGTTCCCCTCTAAAGTATGGTAAGTTTTAATAAAAGTACCACCTTGCTACTAAAAGAATGGCTAAACGATTAAATCAATGACTTTAATACTAATAAAACAACATAGTGTTTAAATAAGTTTAAAAGAACAACCTTATCTATATCTATATTAAAATTCACATAAATTATTGATCTGTTACTCACTACTATTAAACAAATAAAGCCCATGGTTGTCATGCATATTGAAAATCCAAAATTTTCTAGTAATATTCCTCCCAACGATGGTCCCGTCATATCTCTAAAATAAAAAAAGATAAAACAATATATTACTAAGACCATAAGAAGATTGTATAGAGAGTTAATATATTAACTTAAATATATAAGTTAATATATTTTTATTTTTGAATGTTGAAATAAAATTTTGAACAAATAAAACGAGTGTGATGGACGGAAAACTCGGTATTCATATAATATAATATATTTTATACTCTTATTTTATTAGTACCTATAAGTATTGATACTTATACTAAAAAGTTTATTATTACCCAAGCGAATAAGCCGATGACCAAAATCCAGCAACGGTACCAAATGTTGAAATACTCTCTTGAAATCCATTCTCACTAAAAATTCGAGAAATTAATAAAACATTTCCATTGGAATACAGGCGTAAAAAATATATACTTACATTGCTCCTGATAATACGAAATTGAATGCTGGCATCATTGTCAAAGATGCCGATATACCTAGAATTCCAAGGCCAACTAAGTTCATCCAAAGAACACTGCAAGTAAAACAATAATACTAATAAAGGATAAAAAAACCCAGCACAGGGGGGTCACGGCACAGTGGTGACGTGGCATAGTTAGATCAAGTATAATGATATCTGACAGTGATTAAAATCACTATAAAAAAAAAACGCTTCGACGCAAATCTTTAAATAGTGTTTAATTTTAAAAAATTGGTGGATTATTCCAAAAGCTTCATGATCTGCTAGTTCATTATTAATATCCTAATTAAGATAAAGTATGTCGAATGAAAAAGGGATTATTAAAAAATATTATTTCTCATAAAAAAATAATGTTGATCCATACACTTTTCAATATGTCATAGCATTATAAAGTTAAAAATTTAAAAAAAAAATCGAGAATTTTCATACAATAATAGCATTCGGTAGCCATTTTCACCGTGAATATAAAATAAAGTCCGAAATTTTTTTTTTCAAATTAAAGTATATTACATAAGCTTCAATTTAAGATATATATAAAAGTGTCAAACCTTCCGGAACACTTTCAAAAGTTAAGTTGAAAAAGTTCTACTTTCTATATGCATTTTTATTATTTGAAGCCCCCCGTATATAGGGAAATAGTCTGATTTAAAAAAAAGTATGTCCAATGAAAGATGTATATAAATACTACTTCTCATAAAAAAATTGTATTGATCCATACATTTTTTAAAAAGTTATAGCACTTTAAAGTAAAAAATGTAAATTATAAAATCGAGAATTTTCACACAAAAATAGCATTCGGTAGCCGTTTTCACCATGAAGACAAGTCCAGAGGTCAAATTTTTTTTTTTCAAATTAAAGTATATTACATTAGCTTTAACTCTAAGTTATATATAAAAGTGTCAAACCTTCCGGAACATTTCAAAAGTTAAGTTGAAAAAGTTATAAAAAAAATATACCGAATGATAGGTAAAGACATCAAGCATTTATAAAAAAAAAAATTATATTGATATGTTCATTTTTGAAAAAGTTACGGCATTTTTTAGTAAAAAAAATTGAAAAAATTTCGAAAATTAGCGATTTTTAAATTTGTAATTTTTTTGGAGGTTTCCCCCATTTACGGGGAACGAGGGAATTTTTTTCAATTTTTAAGGGTAATGTCTTCGACTAGATACGATTTGTGATCTTTTGACGTATCGTTGAAAGAAATCGGTTCGGTGAGAGCTGAGAAAAAGTGGTAACAGACACAAAAAAAAAAAAAAGAAAAAAGAAAAAAAAACACACATTATAGTAAAATAATACCTTCTCAGCTTCGCATCGAAGCTAAAAATTTAAAGTATAGAGTATAATTTTCAAAGTACACTTTTAACATTATTATGAACATTAAGAACCCCATTTTTTTTTTTTTTGGTTACTTTTAAAAGTCTTATTGTATTCAAATTTGTAGAAAAACTATTTTGTGATATTTAAAAAAAACCAGTACGTCTTGTGAGTATACGCGATTGAGAATTGAAATTTCTTTCAGAGTTATAAAACTGAATATTATGTTTATATTAAAATAAAATTTTAAAAAAACTAAAAATTTTATTTTCAATTGAAATTAATTAAATTAATTTTTTAATTTCTTATTTTATTGTCACGAAAAATATAATGGGTTTGAGAATTAAAATAACTATTGTAACTTTTTGATAGGACGTTATGAAGATAATATGT